ACCATTTATTGAGTATAGAAATGAAATATAAATTTTGAAAATGATTAACAGTATATTGTAACATTATAATTTGTTATATATGAAATACAACATGTTTTCCAACAAGATGAAGACAGCATTTTATGGTCTGATTTGTTCAGGTTTACTCTTGCAGGACTTTCAGTTGGGACCAACAATATTTCTCAGAAACGAGCCTAACAGAGACAATCCACTGCATGGTGTGGATTCTTTTGTTATTTTTATTTTTATTTTTATTTTACTTCCTGTCCTGTTCCCCTGGTTACGTAAGTGTCTGCCCTGCCCTGAAGTGTTTGACCCGTGTCTCTCTGTGTCCATATGTACCTGTGTCTCTTTGTGTCTATATGTACCTGTGTCTCTCTGTGTCTATATATACCTGTGTCTCTATGTACTGTACCTGTGTCTCTACGTACCTGTGTCTCTCTGTGTCTCTATGTACTGTACCTGTGTCTCTCTGTGTCTCTATGTACTGTACCTGTGTCTCTCTGTGTCTCTATGTACTGTACCTGTGTCTCTCTGTGTCTCTATGTACTGTACCTGTGTCTCTCTGTGTCTCTATGTACTGTACCTGTGTCTCTCTGTGTCTCTATGTACTGTACCTGTGTCTCTACGTACCTGTGTCTCTCTGTGTCTCTATGTACTGTACCTGTGTCTCTCTGTGTCTCTATGTACTGTACCTGTGTCTCTCTGTGTCTCTATGTACTGTACCTGTGTCTCTCTGTGTCTCTATGTACTGTACCTGTGTCTCTCTGTGTCTCTATGTACTGTACCTGTGTCTCTCTGTGTCTCTATGTACTGTACCTGTGTCTCTCTGTGTCTTTGCTTATCTTTGTTTGTTCATGGTTGCGTTTGGACTTTGAGTTTGTTTTTTCCTCTTGGACCTGTATTTATTCTCATTAAATCCTTATTATTGCTGCTTTCCTACAGTTTGGATCCTCCTTCACTTCACTCCTGACATCAACACCGTCCAACACCGTTCCTCTCCTGGAGACACCTGATTGTGATGACAGCCCTGTGCTCACACCTTGCAGCATACCTTTCTCCTATAGCTGCACCCACACATTATACCTATGCCTTTAATTGAGATACCTCCACACGACAGCACAGGTTGTCTGTACATTGTCTGTACATTGTGTTCGGCTCAAGTGTAAACAAGAGCGATGGATGTTCTGTGACGTTTCTTTTGTAACAACATTTTGACAGTTTTTTGCAGTGAGTGTTTTGGGCTTGTCTGTCTATTACCATTGGTGCTAATGTGTGTGTGTACGTGTGCATGTACGTGTACGAAGACGTGGACGTGTACATGTTTGTGTGCGTGTGCGTGTATGTGTGTGTGTATTTGTATTTGTACGTGTATGTGTATGGTATGTGTGTGTGTGCGTGTGTGTGTGTATTTATATGTGTATGTGTGTGTGTCATTGATTGTTATGTGTTTTGTTGGAGGGTATTGTATATGGTTCTGTATATGTTTTTGTATTGTAGTGTGTCTGAATGGATGGGAGGAGATTGGATAAATATAAGCTCTTTACTTTGACCAAACCTTTTGTACACGTTGCTACAGAATACACGCACACATGTAATTATATAAACATAACATTTACAAATGCATTTCTATTTACAATTTGTCAGCTCAAAATGGAGTTGGAAAGAAGTAAAAACTTGTAGACTCTCACCCCATGAACATAATTCACACTGAACAACACTAACATTTCACTGTGGGACAAATAAAGGATCTCTTAATCTTAATCTTAATTCAAGTACATGCAAGACAGTAGTAATTTAGCATTGAATACTGAAAAACTTATATTAATTTGTCATTCTCAGTTAGATTTAACACTTTAATAAAGCATGTTATACTTAACTCATAATATTTCATCAAAAACATTTATCCGTCCAAAATACTTCTTTAGCTTTGGTCCAGCTTTGGTTCAGTTCAATAAAGAATTAAAATCTAAAGACAGCCAAAAACAAAATATTTCATATTTAACAATTATAACAATTCCCTCAAAGTATGCAATATTGCAAAAGTTTAAAACAAAAATAGGTTTACTATAGCGCTTTTCAGGACACTCAAAGACACAAGTTACTATTCGTTCACTCCATACACAGTGGTGAACCACTACTGTAGCCACAGCTGCCCTGTGGCACACTGACACTGGCAACCAGTATGTGCCATCGGCCCCTCCGACCACCACCAACCATTCACACACTCAAACTCATTCTAAGCAATGGGGTTGAAGTGTCTTGCCCAAGGACACAACGACAGCAGACATCATTGTGAGTCGATGGAGAAAGTCTTGTGGTGGACTTGAATCCACGACCTTCAGGCTCAAAGCCCAATGCTCTACCAACTATACTATAACATATAAAAAAAACAATGCATTCATAGGATCTCTTATCTTGATCTTATTTATAAAAGTAAATGTACAGACCCATTGTTGTGTCTGTATGTGCTCTGTCCCAAACGCAGCAGTAGACGAGATGATGGGAGTGAGTCAGCGCCTCTTGGACCACTGCCAGCCCTCCCTGTGTTCATCTGTGTACAAGAACTCACACTTCACTCCATGGAAGCGTTTCAATCATTCAAATGAGTCCTAATCACAGCCACGCGCCCCAAGAGGAAGGCGGCAAGTCACGCTCTCACTTGAGAACACTTAAATGCATTGTTTTATTGTATTTATTTAGGGTTTTTTGACTGAAGTGAATTGAAAGTGGACTCACATGCTCAGGTCGTGGGCTAGTAAATTAAAACTAGGGCACTGATGATGATAATAATAATAATAATAATAATAATAACAATAATAATGTAGTGTATTCAGTCTAAAAGTCATCGCATATATTTTGAAGAGGCTATCCTTTGTCTTTTCCTTGTAGCCCAAAAAATGCAGTACACAAGTTACATTGACGTGCACTACAGACACTTCCCAGGTAAGTAAACTGTTAAAGGCTGCATGTGTGTTATGTTCTTATTACTATTATTTATTGGTGTTATTAATCTATTTGTATGTTGTGTCCATGATTGTTTTCACTTGTGTTTTTCTGTGTTTGTTCTGTGTTCTTTATATGTTTAATATGAATTTGATGTGTCAACTGTTTTATGTTCTACTTATCTCAGTGATGCCCTGGATTACACTGCCCCCTACTGGTTTATATTTGAGCTTGCACTCCTTGAACTTCAGGCAATTATAGTAAGTAACGTTGAGGAGCGTATCAGACAAATTCTGATACGTGGTCCCTTTTAATTCTTATTACTAACTTGTGAGCATTTATGGTAAGATGTTAATATAGGCTAATATGGGGATGTCATTCTTGTAAAGCAACCATTATCAACTACCTGTAAACATTGGACCCAAAGAGCAATTTGTAATAAAATAGATAAAAATAAGGTAACTGGCTACAATAACAAGCCTTTGGTGCATGAGCTGAATCGATCCATAACTAAACAGAAAAATACCAGAAAATAATATTCATAATACATAAAACACATTGGATAAAGGTACACTAAAAAAAAAATGTCCGCCCCTTGATTAAAAGTGCCTATCATGAGTCTGGTTAGAGCGATGACAGAGGGTGGTCGTAAAGGAGCCGATGGTCCATCCCCCAGTAGGGTTTTACCACTGTGCCGCCCTCCGCCTCAGATCCACAGACCCCAGCCTCCCCACTCCCCTCAGGACTCAACACTGAACCTTGGGGGACCGAGTATTATTATTATTATTAATATTCCTTTGCATATCCAAATATGCCATTCAAAGCAGAGTTTTGACCTGTGTTGATCTGTCTTGTTGAGTGTGGTTCACTCCCAGGAGCACAGGGATTATAGTAAGTAAACATGATAGTAACTAAACATGGGGAGGCAGCTAAAATCTGGAACAGTCTCCCTGAAAATGTGATACAGGCTTCATCTCTGACAATCTAATCCAATTTAAATCCAGGTTAGAAACAGCTCTGTTTAGCTGTGGATAACTGAGGGATTTTATCTTTACTCTTTTTAATGTACTATACTCATTTGGACTCACTGCAGCAGTGTTCTATAGAGTGGTGTATTAAACAGGATACATCTGTGTTTTATGCACAAATCATGATCCAAAAGCTATCTCCGAATGTGACTGATTCAACACAAGTGCTGTGTCCTGTGCCTTAGTGCCTTTTGGCTACACACCTATTTTCCTTGGCTTCTTTGTGTAAATGAGCAAATATACATAATGAATAAGTTTGTTTTATGATTAAAAAAACTATAATGTGCATTTCCTCGTTTAAAAAATAGAATGGACTTGATGTAAGTTAAAGCACACGTTACAGTTTCCATTTGTCTCCTTTTGATTAAATCTAAACCGTATAACGAAGGAACTACTGTCCATAGGTAATGTCATGGTGATGGCAAAAAACAGACTGAAAATATAAACAATGACAAACAGGAGATGGGCACCATTTATATTTGAAATCCATTCACTTTTAGATACATTTTTACCCCCATCAAATGTATTCACTTTTATAGGATCACAGATGTTAAAGACGGGGTACCTTGTTTTTTAGTTCAAGAGAATAACTAGTCCAAGAAATAAAATAATTGACCAAAATGTTGGTCACTTTGGAGTGAGAGCAGCTTCATCCATCCTCTTAGTAAACCATGCATATCCTCATCTCTTATTTGTACTATGAAATTCTGTTTGTGCAAGACAGTTTGAAATAAAAAACAGAACAAAAAACTAACTAAGATCTGATTGGCAGGTTGGTCACATTTTTCACTTTTCTGTCTGAAAAAGTTGATCAGGATGTATAAACTGTGAGGTGCATTGCATGATAAGCATCAGCGGAGCAAAATGTTGCAAATAAACAGAAAAAAGTGAGAAAGCACAAATTAATTTTTTTCATTTTACAAGTAAGGAAACAGGAAGATACACGAAAATGTATTTTGTTTTGATCTGAGCTGAGTTGATTCCAGACAGTTGTGTTTGCAGCCGAATGTTCCCGTCCACAAACACTCACTGACTGTTCATGATGCGGTTGATCCACTTCTGATGGATTGGAATCTTTGAGTAATATTGGACAGCCTCTGTTCTGCCCGACACAACTCCGTACACTTTTTCTTTTTCACACACGAGAGGGCCTCCTGAGTCTCCCTGTGCAAACATACAAAAGCATTAGATAATGGTTGGACTTCAGGCTTATGTTTGTAATTTAGCAATACTTACACTCTGACCTCCTTTCTTCCCGTTGACACAGTAGAAGTAGTCTCCTTGTTTCGGGGATTCACACTGACTCACTGAGACATTCACCTCCATGAGAGTATGGGAGTTGTATCCCTTAGAATGTTCAGTACGGCCCCATCCGGCCAGACTGCAGTCCTTCGGCTCCTCATCCTCCGGCCGAGCCAAAGAAATGCACGCCACCTTAGAGTTCAGCTTAGCTTTTGAGCTCAACTTAATTGGAAGAACATTTTATTGAAATTGTTTTAAATCAATTGAATGAATGAACGAGTAAAATAATACACAATGTGTACCTTAAGTAACAATAGATCATTCTTTAGAGTTTTGTCATCATAAATTGGATTCATGAAGGCCTTCTCGACAGAAATATGCTGCGCCTCAGATTTTTTTAAGGCGTCATGAATTCCTAAAAAGACACTGTAAGAGCTAGAAAGAAAACAGCACTTGTCAAGGCAACTGAAACTGGCAGGTCTAAACATGTCTGATCAAACAGAGATACCTGGCAGAACAGTGGGCTGCAGTCATCACAAAGTTGTCTCGGAGAAGAAAGCCACCACAGTATTTGGGTTTTCCATCCCCCATATGTCTCTCCACCAGAGCCATGTAGGGTCTGCCATGGGCTTTTCTTCCTCCATAGATCCTCCCTGCATGGACTGCATCTGTTGGAAAACATTCACTAATATCTCATTAACAATATCTCATTTCTCATGAATCCAAACAAACAAATCCACCTTATAAACTCAACAGACTGATGAAGCTGAGAACTCACCATGTGCAGCGATGATGAGGATGAGGAGCAGGGTGCCACACAGGTGCATGTTGAGCTGACACTGACAGTAAGAAACTGACTATTACATTTTATACACAGACCAAAGCCCAAACTGCTGATTTGTAAAACACGTCATCTGAGATTTTAAGAATTGATTCGCATTCATAATCTTCATCACTCATCTCTTTCTGCCCACAACCATGTCCGTTTGGCTTTGAACAACGTTGTGCATCTTACTTCTGCTACTTTCTGTTGTCTATCTTTCATTTCAATTATCATCTCGATCTGTCACATTTAGGTTTCGCACAAATTATAGACGAGCAGGAAGAACATTATCTGACCAACTTTCCAACCACAAAGTACTTATCGTTATAAATCATGAATGCTGCAGCATGTCAACAAAACATATTTGAAAAGGGCTCAATGTATTTGTTTTCAAGTTCAAGTTGTCTTTATTGTCCCACTAGGGGAAATTGGTTTTGCAGCAACAGTCATCTAAAACAGGCAGATACAGTAAGATCACAACATTGAAGAAAATAAGAACAAAAGAGAATGTCACAAAACTAATTTTCAGTGCAAATATGCTATAAAGTTCAAAGGTTTGTAAAAGTGCTATGTGCTGTTAAGGTGCTTCACAGCTGTCGGAATAAATGTAGTTCCCAATCGTTTTGTCCTACACCCAAGAGCCCTATAGCGTCGTCCTGAGGGTAAAAGTTCGAACTGATCCCTAAGCACCTGCTTACTGTACAGGTCTTTGGGCTGAGCCTGTGTTTTCCTTGACACCTTACTAGCCACTTTAACCAGACTGCCAAGTCTGTTTTTGTTTGCTAGGGATAGGTTTTCAAACCATGCAGTTCATTCAATAAAAGAACGATAAAACAAGGTCATCATTTCTGATGACACCTTAAAAGTGTTCATGCGCCGGAGAAAGTACATTCTCTGCTGCACTTTTTTACAGACTGCATCGACCAAGGGTTCAAAGCCCAGCCTGTGGTCCACAATAACCCCCAGATACTGTACCTGTATTGCTCCACAAGCTCAACATCCATGCCCTTAATAACAGTGAATATGATTGCTATTGTGTGTCAAAGGCAATATAGGTGTATACTTAGAACTGTTGCTTATTTTGTATTTACTTTACAGCCAAAACATAAAGATATATTTTGGAATTCAAACCAAAAGAAAGTAACAGACAACTGTGAAGTGAAAGAGATTTAAAAGCGGTGAAAAGAGTGAAAAGCAGCCTCACAGTATGATGCGTCAGTCTCATGTTTGACGCTCTCAAGGTGCACTGAGGGTAATGAGTATAAGGGTTAGTGTATATGTCTCATGTGTTATAACATCTCAAAATGTTTGATGTGCATTAAAACTTTTGCAAAGCACTGTGCATATCATGTACTGTAGGGACACCATTTAACTCCAGTCATACCCTACATTATTTATCATTAACCAGCAGGCTGAAGATATTAGGCGGTAACAGTATGCAGCAATAACTTGTGGATGAAAGGATGTTCTCTGTGACAGTGCACGCTCATGGCTCCACTTGCAGAAGTAGGGCCCCATAGAACAGCAATGGACATTTACAACTGCTGCAAATAAGCAAATTATTTAGTATTGTTTTAAAATGCTCAGTCCTGATCAAGCAATAGTGAAAAATCCATGACCATGGTTCAATCCAAAAGTGCATTGGCCACCTATTAATTCAAAATGCAACTTTTTTTTTAAAAAAACGACAAACACGGGGTGGGGGGGAAAACACTTTTTTTAATTCATCACCAATTTACAGTCTCTGATTACAACATGGCGTTGTATGAAACCGTTATGTTTTTGCTGCACGTTCCCTATACTGCCACAGGGGGGCAGCATTGTCTTCTGGTCTATGAAAGCTGGCGGTCATTTCTGTGATTATCTTTAGTAGAGTGCAATGAGCGAGTTATTGAGTGTAAAGGCATATTTCCGTAAATTTTAATCAGTTTACAAATGAGCACGCTTTATCATAGTATCAGCAGTTCTCTGCCATTCCGACTCCTCAGGAATATGTAAAAACTGTCAGCAGAGTGAGCTGTGCCAGAACTCAGTATTCTAATCTGCATCAAAGAAATTTAAGTTTTTAATTTAATGCAAATAAGATCACAAATGTGTATACTTTGAGTTTAGACTTGGTGGTTTGTTTGCTCAGTTCAATTCCATTCACTGTTTTTTAGTATAGTCCTAAATCACACAAGTATATTTTCTGTATATAGCAGTAAACTGAAATCAGACCAGTCATTCTGAAATCCATGGCTAGCGCAAATTTCTTGTTTCAGAATGTGAAATAATATCTTCCGGAGTAATATATGGCAAAACAAGTATAAAGGGTAAATAATGCAATCAACCTGACCTATCGCTTTTGCTACTGGGTTCAGCTCTGACTGCCCAGAAATGGATTAAGGGGAAGAAAATGAATGGAAGGATGGATAATTCAAAGTGAGACATTGCCAAAACTAATTCATGGGCAATTTTTCTGTTTACAAGTCCAATAACTGCTCTGAGAGTGATGTCATAGTGGCACAATGACATCATACGTTTACAGCACTGAGGCAGAGCTTTTCGAGAGAAGGACCGGGGTTACATGTTTGTGCCAGAAGTCCCTGATATTAACGTGTATGGATCATAAAACAACTTTTTTTGCTGTGTGAAGAATGTCGTCCATTTTGCCTAATATGTCTCCTTAAAGACTATTATTTTAGTTTGAGACCAACCCATCAACCAAGCTGTGATGTTTACGGTCATTTGCGCCACAGAATCGAACATGCTAGTTGGAGGTCCATTCAATAACATCAGGAAATACATTTTGCTTTCCACGCTCATTTGGAGTCTCCCTCTCGGGCCTGAACGCTCCAAAGGAAATATCACGCTGATGTTATCACCTCATAAGACAGCAAATAAAAATAAAGTTTACATAATAGTGTGCTCTGTGGGAAAGAGTAGGATCATTTGGGTTGCTGAGAATATAGAAAGGAAAAGTACATCCTTCAAATGTATACAATAATGTCTGCTCTGGAGTCCTATAATCTGCATATTAGTTTAGTGTCAGCTCTGATAGGTTAAAAAGCATAAGTTTGTGTGTTGTTCGGGGCCTGGATTTGAAATGGACTGACCACACGCTCTGTTAGATCACTTCTTCTGTCTAGACTCAAGTATGAGCCTTTTTGTAATTGTTCTCAATGTTTCACAATCATATTTTTATGTGTTGAAATGGAGAGAAAAACAGCATTCTGAGCCGCTGGAATCAAAGAATGTAACGAGAATGACAGGAGGGTCTGGTGTGCGAACTTATTTATAGTGATGGGACACTATAGTATGAATTGCAAGAGGCCCCTTGAGTTGAGTATGTTATGTTTTATTATTTTGTAGATTGTTTAAATATGGAGTTTAATAAATGCAAATTGGTTTAAAATATGCATGATTAGAACTGACTTTGATCCCTCTAAATCCTCTATGCCCACATTGACAGAAAATGCAGTGTGTGAAGTTTTATCTTATGCAAATTTAGAGCGCTATTCATTGCGGAGGAATGGAGGATTTAAGGCTTGGAACAAACCAGGAAGGGAATTTGCTGTTTTGAACACCTGTGATTTCAATAAACGGTCTTCATGCAAATCTTTCTTTCAACTGTTTATCTACAATTAAATCTTGATTTGTTCTGTTCATTTTGGCGCTGGAGACAATGAAAACAGACTGTGCAACTAATCAGCATGGGCAGAAGTAAGGTATAGTTTAACCCACAATACACGTTTAAGTTGTTTTTTTGCATAAAGTTTCAGTCTCGTCTGCTCAGTGAATTGACTTCAATCAGACTTATGCATATCAAGTACAGTGCTTTGAAAATATATTCATACCCCAAGAACTTTCCTACTTTTAGTCTCATAATAAACAAATGCAAAGATATGTTATTGTCAATTTATGCGCAAAACCAAAACAAAACAAAGACAATTATGTAGAAAGAGAAAAAGAATATATTTTTATTTATTGTTTACTGCAAAAAGGGGAATGTAAAATAATTCAACCATTCACCTTTAGAGGTTGCGTTATGGATGGTAAAATGTCGCCCTAAATATAAAGTAGAGATCACCAGAGTGTAATGAAATCTCAGTGTGATTACAGCTGGTCTGTGATAGCCTCAGGCCCCGTTTAGACGCTGCAGAGACGCTGAGAAGCAAATAGAAAAAATGACCAGGCTACTTCACAGTGTTTAGATGACGACGGAAAACAATGTAGCTCTAGCGCCCGACCAATAGGGGGCAATGGAACTTTACATCCCGACACACGCAGTATAATAACTTCCTCAACATTATCCTCCTCAGGACACCGCAAAGACGAGAAAGAATGCACCAACATCATCCTGCATTTAACAGCAGCTGTGAAAATGGAATCTGAAACTAGAGCTTTGCGTGGTTTTGTTACAAAGGAGTAGATTTCTCCTCTGCTTGAAGCACATGTGTACCCGCCGATGTTTTTGTTTACATTTGTTCTCAGCTACTGCGCATGTCCAAACACCGACTTCATGAAACTTTACCATTTTAATGTTGCAGCGTCTCTGTCTAAACACCACCTCATAGATTTGTTAAGAGAATATTTACATATTAATATTACAACCGTTGAATTTGCCAACACAGATCAGAGAATCAAACAGTTCAAACACAATAAATGCGATGACAAAAACACACACACACACTGTATAGCCATTGGTCCATAGGAGGCAGATCACCAATATCCATAAATGTTGATAAATAAAAGATTTTTGCCCTGAACCTCTCACAGAACACTGTTTAATCAAAAGATTGATGGAATTTTGCGTTGCATCAGGACAATGTCCCTAAAGACTTTTCATACAATAGAATGGTTAAAAATTAGAATAAAAAAAAAAAACAGTTCACAAACTGTACATCTCGATTCTAATCTTACAGAGCTTGACCTGTTTTGCAAAGAAATAATGGGGAAAAATGTTTGCTGAGGGGAGTTCACAAAGTAAAAAAATATCTCTGGTTGTATTGAGACATGGTGTGA